AATGCCAGAGAAATTGCTATGACAGGAGCTGCTCATAGACTGAAGACCAGTCATTTGTGCAGCAAGGTTCAGGTGCTGGAGGAGTTCCTTAACCCAGGACCAGAGGGAGGGGGCTGAGGGTCAGTCAGCTGGCCTCGATTAGTTGTAATGGGGCTTCAGGGCAGAGCCTGCCTGTGCTTTACAGAGCTGACCCAGGCTTTAGGGCAGAAGCTTTGCACCTATAGAAACTCGAGGAAATATGATTATATTTGTCCCAGCACCTACCCAACCAGACCACACATTTCTGTATAGCCTTTTGGATAGTCAATGGTAACACTCTCTCTCAAAACTTACTGCAGGTCATGGATCAATGAGTTATTAAATCATTTTGAATGCTAATCCTGTCCTCTGAAGTACTTGTCCACCTTTCCTCCCCCACCTTTGTGTCATCTGCAAATTTTGTACACTGGCTGTCTATGCCATCATTGAAGATTATGATAAATATATCAAATAGAAATGGGCCCAGGACAGTTCTCTGTGGAACCCTGCTTGAAATGTCTTTCTGGTTTAACAGTGAACCATTGACAACTGCTCAGCTACCATAGGTATATGGTTTTACCACTAGGTCTACACTTATCTTAAAATGGTTTTAATCTGGTCCACCAGATTTTTCTAGTTGCTGAAGAGATTGTTAAGTCAGCATCAAATCCTCACTAAAGTCAAATCTATTTCCCATCTACTGCCTTCCCTTCATCCGCCAGGCCAGTTACGATGTCAAAGGAGGACATGGAGTTGTTTTGACATCATTTATTCTTGACAACTTAATGTGAATGGTTTCACTTGATTATCTCTGAGATGTTTAAGAAGTTGCTGCAGTATATTTTTAAGTATTGGTCTGAGGCAGACTGTTCAATAACTTAGTGATACCTAATTTCCTGCTTTTTAAAGATGCTACCTACCCCTTCCTCCCCAAATTCTCAAAAAGGCTCAGAGCATGCTTGTTCCTTAAATACCTATGGAGTATCCAAAGAGATAGTGGATCTAGATTTAGAGACTCTTATATGGTATCTGAATTTGTGTGCCTTGCTTCCTGTCTCTCCTGTGCTTTATCTGAGTGATATTGTCTAAATTCCTACACAGCTGCATATTTTCTCAGACATCTTTGATTCCTTTTCTGTCTGGACTTTATCTAAATAAGTGCGTCTAGATTTCCCTCCCTCTGGAACTAGTAAAGTTCAGCTCAGACCTCTTAACTTCTTTAATATTAAATGCATGTGACTTTTACAGCTACAGCTGAGCAGATGAACATAGTAGTAAGAGTGCTTGACATGATGATTAGGTCCTTTATGCTACAGAATTTGGGAGGCAGCCAATGGGAGTCATCTATACTACTACTCTTCATGTTAGCACAATCCCAGTTAATTATCCTGCAATTCTGTAAAGCAGATGCAGACATGGGACATTTTGCTTTAAAACCCCATATACCAGCCCTTTTTTCATCTTTGTTGACTGTCTTGTGGTTTTGGGCTTGTGATTGCATATTAGTGCTATTAGTGCTTGTTTTCCCTGCTTTACATTTTGTTGTGAAATGTTTCAAACAGGGCTCACTTCCCAGTGCATCAGCAATGCTGTGGAAAACAAAGACAAGCTAGGAAATTTTCTATTCAGTTTATAAATTTACTGTTTGGGTTCCTGAGAGTGTGTGGAAATGTAGAGTGGTTCTCCCTCAACCAAACTTAATCTTGCCCTGTATGCCTACCCATAGTCAGAAGATCCACATAACACCAAAGCAAAGTGCCTATACATACTTACTATAACAAACAGGATTTAGAAAAGCAACATTAGAACATCCTATGAACACATTAACATAGCAGCACTAGAAAACAACTTACAATTCAATCCCTCTCTCTAGAGAGAAACAGAAAAATCTGTCTATGATAAAATACACATTGAATGTCACATGAATAATACAGTAGGGTTGCAAACTGTCTGTAAATTTACTGATTGTCAGTAAAAAGTCAGGCTAAAAATGGCTGGCAGGTTAGATGTGGGGTCAGCATGCTGTAGGGTACAGTTGGGGGAATCAGGATGTGGGGATAAGTAGGGGTCCCTTGGCAAAGTAGTGGGGGCAGCACAGTGTAAACCATTGCTGTAGTCAAGCAGGGTTGCCAACCCTAGACATTTTTTTTGCTGCAAACTTTTTACTGATAATCAAACTTTTAAAAAACTTTTTTGCTATGGTTGATGATAACCCCCTAAATTTGAGCCTAGCCCTTTAACTAGGGTCTGGCAGCAGGGCAAGGCTTGGCAGAAGAGTTATATTTACATTATGAGTATACATATGAGGGTGAACACATATCAGTATAAACATGTTAGCAAAAAGTTCGGCTGTCAGTAAAAAGCCTGTAGATTGTCAGTTAAAACTTTTTTCTTGTGTAGTCAATCTTGATTGCTGCCATAAGCAGTTTTGCTACTCTTTAGTGGTTGCAAACATTTGGCTCAATGTAGATAAGTTGTTCTCAAGTCTGTGATCCATCTAGTTTTACAGGTAGTTTTACAGGTAGTAAGTTGAGGTGCTGACAAGAATGATGTGTCTATAGATGGACAACTGTAATAGAATGTGTTGCAGTGGAGCTAATATCTCACGAGAAATTCTGTTCCCCTCTCCCTTTTTAGGTATTCTTAACAATGTTAGCCCTTCTATGCATAATTTATACTTGCATTTTATGTCTTTTCTACTGTGGTCCAATGTCACAGGTCTTACTTCATCATTCTCTTTTGCTGTGATAGTCAAGCATCAGATAACATCCACCTGGATTTAGTTAAGCCAAGTGTGGGAAGCAGCAACTTTTAAATACCATGCAAACAGTCTGAATCCTGTACTTTATCTGCTTTTGTGTGTTGAACTGACAATTGGTCTTTGGGCATAATAAATAACTCCTGATTTCCAATTAAAATAATTGCACTAACACAATCAAGGGATAGGGAAGGCTTACATAGGGTGTGTCTACACATGCAAGCACATATGCTTACAGCAGCTCAAATAGAAGCAGTGCAAATTTGAGCCAGGGTTTTTTGCTTCAGTGCATGTGCTCAGTCATGCACTTTGTGGAGCAAATTGTGCCACTTGGGGCAAAATAACCCTGCCTGGCTCTTCCCGGATCTGTAGCCAGGGGGAGCTAGAGCCCGGAGCCAGCACCTGTGCTGTCCCCAGCAGTATAAAAAGCTTCCCTGTCCTGGCCCCAGCAGTATAAACAAAAAAACCTGGCAAGTAGCTCAGGGCTACTAGCTCTCAGAAGCTTCTGGGGCCCAGCCAATTGGTACCTGGGGACACTACCCCTTGTGCCAGCTGGACTGCTGAGAGTTTCCTGCACCTCTACCCACTGCAGCAGTCTGGCAGTGGGGGCTGCTGCCTGGCTGCGACCTGCTGCACACCTGCCAAATCTGCATGGGGACTGCACAGCCAGTAGAGGCATCTGCCCCTCTGGGCTAGCTGCCAGTGGACTGTGGTTGCAGGATTGGCCTCTGTGCAGCACTACTGCCATGTGTGCCCCCTGCCTGGCCATTTGGGCA